AATCAGACAACTAAGTAGACACCAGTGTATAGTGACAATGAGTTTGGACACACCTATAGTTCTTACTCACACCATGAATGTATTTTGAGAAAAACGCATCATTTGCACTACAATAAATACATTAATATGAGTATTAACGTATTTGCCTGAGGAAGTTGAACGAGGTGGCGCAGATAAATTAAACTGGGCTGTGATTAAAACACCTAATTTCTCAGATTAAAAGACTTTTATGAACTAAATATTGGGGTCACAGGCCTAAAAAATTTAGTCTAAATAATTATGACAGAAAAATGCTAATAGCTGTGATGCCAGTCTCTGCAGACAGTGGTGTCTGAATCATCCAGCCCTTTCTCTTTCTTGGCTGTGGCTGCTTCCTGAAGCACATACTGTACTGACAGAAAACGTGGCACACTGCAGCTCACGTCATATTCAGTCTCTTCATCAGCCTCGTGGTGTCTTTATTTAACAACAGAAAATTCACACTTTTCAACATTTTTAAGGTTAAGTTGTACAAAATGTACCCAGAAATGCCAGTCGCAAGAAAGGCTGTGAATCACGCATTCCTTTACATGCTGAATTTTCAAATTTGTATGAAAGCGGATACTTTTATTCTATGTAGTCATCAGGCTAAAGATCACATGTAGGAAGGATGCGGCTGTTTGCACATGTGTGTACTTGTGGGCAAGAAGGGACGACACGAGAAAGAGATGAGGGGCGGAAAACAGGCTGAGGTGACTGGAAGCTCACTGAAGGAAAGGGAGTGTAAAAATTTGAGAAATGGCAGTGAGGGGGCAGGAACAGGATTAGTGCACTGTATGTTGAGTGGTAGAAGGCGTGTGTGTGTGTGTGTGTGTGTGTGAGAGAGAGAGAGAGAGAGAGAGAGAGAGAGTGAGAGAGAGAGAGAGAGAGAGAAAGTTGGGGGCAGGAGAGTGAAGAGAGAGAGAGAGAGAGACTGTGTCACGTGTATGCCAGAATAAGCACAGAGCTGCACCGGGGCGATCTCTGGACACAGCAGCAGCAGCAACTCAGACCCTCGGTCCCTCAGGTCTTCATACTCCTTCCACATGTAGCAGCCAAACTTTTTGACACCTGACCCCCCTCCCCTTATCTAACCTCACCTCCAGGCTTCTCTCTAGCTCTTCAGCTCTCAACCCATATCAGAACCAATAATTATTATTCCCACTCCATTGGTAAACATCTCCCCATGAAGGGAGAGGATTTTGAATGACTTTACTTCTCTGAATTTGTCAGTTTGCATTTTGTGTGCAGTTGTAAATGTATGTTGTTGACATTTAAAAGCCATTACACCCATGTACTGCCTCATTTCAGCTCATGAATAAGAGCAGGTCCAGTAGGTGTTCTATAGCTAAGTGGTACAATCATCACTTAAAGTGCCATTTTGCTGTTCCTGTTTCAAAGGATGTGATGGAGGAGATAACTCCTCTCTTTGGCCCCTGTTGAATCCCAGCTCTGCTCCTCAGAAAACGGCTGGAGGTATGCCAGGTGCTTTTTTCACTTTGAAAGGTTGGGATGACATCCAAACAAAAGAGCTGTAGTCCTAATGTGGGCCTCACAATGTTATGCAAGTGTATGACTGCAGCAGCAGCAGCAGCAGCAGCAGCATGATAAAAAAAAATGCATAAAGCCCACGTTGAAGCTTTTCTGCTCCTATTGGTAAGGAAAGCAGAAACCTCACACCTGGGGCAGGGCCAAGGACACGTGTTAGCCACAAACAACCCCCGCTATTAAAGATCTGTTCTGGATGGAAATTTCTGAAGACTGACTCTTTAACCGCACTGTAAAGTAACTCTGAATGGGTGACTAATGCATGTGTGCTACTCTGCTACAGCAGCAAGGTGTGAGACATCGCAAGGTGAAACTGCACTCTGACATTTTGCTGCCTGACTAACGGCACTCATGGACATTGTGTTTTCTGATGTTTTATAGACTAAATGATAATCAATCAATAATCAGTTGACCTAGAAAATAAGTGATTGTTAAAAGAAACATTAGCTGCAGCCCTACTAGCAGAACATATTTACGTTGCATGGCTCCTGTGTGTTTGTGTGAGTGTTTGCCAAAACTGTAGAGGACTTTATTTAGGCAAATCACCATGTGATGATTTAAAAAAATTATAATTTAAACAAATTACAAATATATATTACATTATTACAAATTACGCAACCAAGGGAAAGCAGTAATGCATGATTAGGGAGTGTAATAACTCACAAGTAATACTGATTCATTAAACCCAAAACCCATCTTTAAAAAATGTCATGATAAGAAACAAACAAAAGATATCTTGGTGCATTTACAATGGCTTTTATCATTCAAAAATCAATCCAAACGTCTGCATGTACACGTCTGTGATGCTGTCAAGCGGGCCTAAAGTTACAGGTCAGAAATATGAAAGCGGTGTGATCATCAGCTCCTCTCAAAGTGAGGTTGGATGGTTGCCTACTAAGAAATTATCAGCCCATATCGCATCACTTCTAGATAGGATCTCGCACTAAAACGCCCACATAATGATCCCATAAAAGTGCTAGCAGAGGGAGCGTGGGCAGTTCTACATTGGACATAGATTTGGCGGCTAGCCTGTTGTCAGCTATCTCCAAAGCTCTCCACAAGAAGCCTCAAGTAAAGACTTGATCATCCTCTTGAAGTAGTGAAGTGTCTGTATCATGTCTACATGCAATTACTACCCAGTTATCTGCTTATTTTACACATAAACACAACCCTCAGATGGATCTCTGTGGCAGCAAAGCATGAGTAAGTCAGTCAGTGCTTGTGTAAGCTTCACTTTTTTGACTCCTGCCTATTTTTTTAATCTCAGAAATCCCCTTATGTAACCCTAACCTTCACATTAAGATTATATGGTACTGCTACTAACTCAAAATGTTACATCATCTGAAATCAATATTAACGAATTTGCTGACGGCGAAGATAAACTGCAGTAAGCATAAATCACAAGAGAGTGAAAGGCCCTTTTTGAACTGGAAACCAATACTGAAAAGCCAGAGTCTGTGAAATGCGTATTGGCCCGAGTTCCAGCCGAGTGAAGGAATTATTCAATGTGCTGCGAAGGCAATGCTTGTGGTGAGCTCACAGTCCTCTGCATCATGTGTGTGTGTGTGTGTGTGTGTGTGTGTGTGTGTGTGTGTGTGTGTGTGGAGAGAGCGCAGGCTGGAGCACTTACATAACCTAGTTAAAATATACCCCAGTCACATGTAACGTTCAGCCCTGCAGATAGATATCCCACTGTCGCTTGAGCTGCTCTGGCAGGCGTTCAGACATTAGAGAGAGTATATAAACACACACACATAGACACACACACAGCAACAAAAAGATATGACAGTGATTCGCTGCCAGACATTCTCAACTGCCTGCATGTGAACTGTGTGTGGAAAATAGTCAGGGAGCTTTCTCTCTAAGTGAAGCGCATGTGACTGAGTGGAGTTGGACCGGGAAGAAGCCACAAAGGGAGAGGGAGGGTTCATGACGGGGTGCCGGAAGTCCAACCCTTTAAAGTCACAAAAATGCACCCAGTATCGCTTCTCCTCTGACTACATAACCTCTAACACCAACTCTAAATGCTATTGGCTCAGCCTTGCCACACACAACTAGCACCCCCCACCCACCTCAACCCCTCCCCTCATTGTTGCAGTGTGCCCACATTTCTCGTGTGTGGGCGGGGTTAACTTGGCGAAACTAGCATTTACTGTAACAGGACGACGTATCTGGAGGAGTAAGCTGCACTAGTGAGAAGTGGAAGACACATTTTCAAACCAAGATTAACAAGAGTTACAGGAGTCCAGACTCAGTGCCCAAATTAAGCAAGAAACACACATTTCAGTCCATAATTATTTCTATTATAGTTTTTTTGTATATAAGAGATAAGGGGTCGTTAAGGGCATTTGGAGTGTTTTCTGTGCTGAAAACGTTAAGATCTGAGCTACAAAGTTCTCTTTCAACTAGACTGATGACTGCAATAAGGTCAGAATCCTTTGTAGAGGAAGACACGCTCAATTTATTTCAAACTACGAGCAGCTGGTCCAAGGCCATTGACTTTACAGGAAAACTTACGTAATCTTGTTATTGCAAAGCTATAAATTGCTGCAAGGACTGAATATTCTGCATCAACATCAATTGTGTCCAGCTAGTGTATGGGTCTTAAAGGTCTGATCCACACTGTCATGGCTCACATGTTTGTGTTTACGTTTGTGTTCCCTGCAGCGGCATTACTTGTTGTTAACACAGCTATGAACATTCCAGTTGGTCTTCTCCTCCCTCTGAGCCCAAACCAAAACCCGTGCCTGGGTGGCGCTCCCCCTATTAGTGGTGAGCAGTTATAATGTAAACAAAGCTGTGGAAAGGCTGCTGATTGGTGTCCCAATTTAGAGACACGCTGCACGGTGTGTAGTCACACGCAGACATGCTGCGTCACCGTGGGTCCAGATTTTGGGTACGGGACACTAGCATATGGCCCTAAGTCAAGGCACGATGAGCTGAGTCATATGCGCAGCTCATTGCAGGAGACAGCTGCTAGTGAAACACGACACACACATACACACACACACACACACACACACACACACACACTACATGTTCCCCTGCCATCAGTACCCAAACACTCTGACATAAACACCCGTATCCAATTGCAGCACACTTGCAGGTACGGACATGTTCTCTTATGCAGCATGCATGTGAAACGGGGGTCAACTGAGGCTATCAGCTAGCACTACGCAGTGAATGTTCTCAATGGCTGGTTATTGCATCAGACACGTCACCCTGTCTGAAAATGAGGAACAGATTTTGCAATATCTGTAAACTGTACACACATGCATGAAACCCTCCACAGGCCACGGGGCTTCCAAACTTTCTCGGCCCATAGGATGAGGCGTGGCACCGATGCTCTCCCACGCACATGTGCAGCATTTTTCTAAAAGGGATTGTTAGGGCAGATGTTCAGTGTATGCCCTATAATAAAGTGGGCGTGAGGCTCTGATTTGTCTTTTATTTTTTTATGAATGAGAGACACATCCAGTCTCTGTGGGATACAGAATCAGCCAGCCTCTCTGACAAATTGAAAATCACAGTGCCAGTTTGTGTTGTGTGACTCATCTCGGATCCTGACAGGAGAATGCGCAGATAAAAAGAGTTCCCCTTTGTGAGGAGATTGCAAATTGCCGCTGTTGTTTTTTTTATGTGGAGGACAAATTGCGGCACAACTGAATGGAGATGGATTATTGTTAATACATAAACGTTCCTGGAGATCACACAGAAGGTCTACTAAACATTCAGAACAACGTGCGGGTTACCAATGAAAAACACTATCACAAAAGACATTTGAGTAGCTGTGCTAATCTGTTACTTATATAAATACAGACGCTGCTTTCTCCACATTTCATACTGTGTCTGTACAGTTCAAAGTGTTCTGCCTGTATGTGTTTTCAACCAAAGCAAAATGTAGATGTCTGTTTCCTGTGCTTTGAAGTAGATGTGATGTACTCCACAGTGACTTGGAAGCCTTGAAGACAAAAAAGGGAAATGAGAGTTTGCTGGGAATCTGTAGGAAGCTCTCGGTCGTCACACAGTCTGGGGTCACCGGAGGATCTGGGCCTAGGGAGCAGAACGACAGGAGACTGTTTATGGGATGTTTAAAAGATTGCAGCAGGCTTACAGGACAATTAAAACTGAACATTAGCGGCTCACCGTGCCAGCAGGCGTGTCACCTCGACCGGCTTTATGGGTGCTCTGGTGTCTGCGGTGTGCATTCTTCACAGCGGGGTGTGATTAAAGGCACAGCAGCAAAGAGTAAACCGTTAGGACACCGGGGCTGCTGGTGCCCTTGTCCTGCCTCCTCCTCACTTTGACAGCAGCACATAAAACAAAAAGTAGCCACATGCGCTCCTCTATGATCACCTGACCACAAAATGCTCTTAGGATTGAATCACCATGGTACAGTCTCGTTATAGAAAGCACAGAAGACAGAGCAAGAAGTCCTTCTGCATTTCATGTCAGACAGATTTGCACCCAGTTGTTAAAAACAGTCCGGGCAGCGTCTTTGGCTCTGTAAACATCTCACAGTAGCCCTTTTTTTTTTTTTCTTCCACATGTGACCTTTTCACGCTGCAGATAGAAGGAAAAGAAATGTGATGTTTTCACATTCTGTTTGTTCTCACTAGTCAATCGAGGGAGAGTAGGAGAGGAGGCTGGTTATGCTTTTTGAGTGGGTGTCTCCCAGTCGCACGTGATCACGTTTGCTGTGAGAGGGTTCGTGACTCACTGGCTCCAAGCTCAGGATCCTCGTCTGGCCTCTGACAGAGTGCTCCCTAATCCCACCCTCTCAGGCAGTCAAACCGAGGTCCTGTGAGTCACGGCTTTACCGTCAATGTGGCCCAAAAAAACAAAAGAGAGAGAGAGAGAGAGAACATGCTGCATGTTGACTGTATCTTCAATTACAGGCAGTTTTTATTGTAGAATGATTTACTTATTGGGGGTTGAAGGCTGGAGCTTTTAAAGATGAGTAACATGAAATAAGGACTAATTAATTTCATTTTAATTCATTTTAATGTCTCATTTATTCACTCACATCTTAGAGGCCTCTGGTAACTCACAAAGCCTACATACAAATGAGAGGTGGAAAGTAACTAATTACAATTTTGAGATACTTTACTTGAATATTTCCATTTTAATGCTCCTCCACACTTCAGCTCTACCACATTTCATTAGGAAATATTGTACTGTTTACTCCCCAAATAGTTTTTTTTATGTCCCCCAAATAGTTACTAGATACCTTTCTAATCAAAGTTTTATATAAAAAACCATCTTATAATTTATGATGCATTGATACAGATTAAACTACCAAACATATCTAAAGGCTAATATAACTGTTACTAACATTAGAGCTCACAATAATATGATACTGTAACAGACATTTTAAGCAATATCACATTCTGCCTAATGCTTTTTTTGGTATACTTTAAATAACATATTGTTGTTTGTTGTGTATTTTTATTTCTACTTTAAGAAATTAGTATTATTATGATTATATGAATACCTTTTCCACCACTGGTAAATGTATCGCCAGACCATCCCCTGTTCAAATATAGACTGCTGAAGTGTCCTTGAGCAAACTCTTAACATGAACTACCACAGTTGTTCCTGGAAATGTGCTGACTGCGCCTTTACCATGCTGCGCAGGTTCACTGACATGCCACAAGTCAGGCATCATGGTCCGGATGATATAATGAGGAAGAATGCCTGTAGAATGACCAAAACTAGCCCTGGGTTGACTTCTTTTTTTTTTTTTTTTGCCCAGCTGCTGAAATGAAACCGATCCGCGTGTCCACGTGTTTGTGACATTTCCATGTCATTTGCATATAAACCGGGCTCGCCTATCGCTCCGCGGCTGCACGGACGGAAGAAGCCGATTCGTCGGTCGGGGGCGTCGGAGCAGCAAATGGGAGCGCCTGCCCCCGCTAGTCCCGCCCTCCCAGACACGTTGCCTTGGGAGAAGCAACACGGGGCCGATCGCTGGTTGCACCGTGTCCCCACACTCACACAGCGCACGTCCAACACATCAGCTGCTCTCAGCCCGACGGTCCTGCTGGATTTACCGCTGAACAACGGGGAGAGAGTTTAAAACCAGCCGCTCCATCCTGGGAAGGTAGGTGCCGCTCATCGCTCATCCACATCTTTATCCTCACTGAGAAATAAAACCTCACTGGGGTTTTTTTTTTTTTAAATATATATATGTATATGTTTGTGTGATTTTATTTTTTAAAATCCTCCAGAGGAATTTGACGCAGACAGGATCGCATACAAACATTTATTTGTGTGTGTGTGTGAGAGAGATTAATGATGTGACAGGACACATAAAGGCGTGGTAATGATCATTCTTCCTCTCTTTTTTGTTGGTTTTATATAATCTAACAGTGCATGTTCATAAATTTACTATGACTGACGAGGAAGTCTATTGTGTCTGTTACCCAGCTGATGTGAAACCTGCATTTACTGTAGGCGGGGTGGATCGGATCATTCACCTTATCATTATCATTTTTCTTGTGTGAAGGGGGTTAAGATTGTAATGTTTGATCCCCTGGATGGAGGGAATTACTCTCATTTAATTCGTTTTTTTCGTCGTTTTGTTAAATTAGTGTGTGTGTGTGTGTGTGTGTGTGTGTGTGTGTGTGTGTGTGTGTGTGTGTGTGAAGTGGAGGGCATCTCTGTTCGTACATAGAGACAGGGAGCTCATAAAGGCTATCTGGTGTGAGTGTATTTTATCAGAGAGAAATGTGTGTCATATGAAAGCATATGTGTATCTAGAAGCTGTTATCAGTAGTGCAGCAGCTATTTGAATTTCTGTCCGAAAACACTGGACTGCAGGCCTGTGTGTGGTGCGTTCAAAGGCCCGGGACAAGAGAATATTTGAGCAAGTGTGGTATGTGTATGTTGTTTTATGACAGAATTAACTGTATAAACTAATGCTAAAAGGAAGTCATGGCACTCACTTTATACTGTATCCGTTCAGCTGAATTGAGTAAAGAATATGGTTGTAGGAATTCTGCTTATAGAAGATTTAGAAGATTATTGTATTATAGGATGTATGCCAGGATATAATAAGGTATATGTGATGTGTGATATTGCACAAAAGTTTCTTTGCACAGACTAAAGCTTTAAGTAGAATATATTGTATTTCTTTATCAAGATTTATTTAATATTACTGTTAGAGTAATAACTGGAAACAGGTTTTAATTTAATATACAGTAGATTATAATAACGAGTTACACATTTAACATATTTGACCTTTGTGTGTTGCTTTATATTTGTGTTTTTAAAGCACCATCTGGGATTGAATATTAAAACAGCAGCAGCTACATATTAGTTTGAAGTCTTTGATGCGATCCTGAATGTTGATACTGTATAATTCCAGGCTCTCAACATTTGGATATAAAATCCACTCAGTATTTTATTACAGCTGTTCCCCCTGTTGTGCGATTGCCTGGCCCCTGCACAAACATATTCTTTTCCACATTGTTTTGTTTTCACTGAAACCAGTTAACTGTGTTGTTTGCTACCCAAGGAGCCACATTATAACCAGCAAAACGAAAACATCCAAGTGTTTATGATTTCACAGGAGATGAGGGACCTGCCACGTGTTAAGCACTCAAAACACCAAAAATAATCCCTGGGCCAAAGATGCTGTTCTCACTTCCTTTTACCTACTAATCACTGAGGAAACACATGTTGAAGAGATGCAAAGATCCTAAGAAATCAAGCATCCGTGAAGAGCATTTGGTCCGAGGAGTTTTTAATCACGAGGCATTCTGCATGTTGTGAGCAAACAGTCTCTCTTTTTGTAAAATCCCCCCCCCCCCCAAAAGTGTCACTTGTGATGGGAGGTCCGCAGTGTGGGGCACTGGTCGTCATGGTGGCAGACCTCTGCCCCCTTTGAATAAACAAGCTAACAATGTTTATGAATGATTGTGGTGGTAGCAGCTGGCAGGAACCAGCTTATAGAACCAAAACGGGGGAAAATTAGTCAAGCTGGCGATCGTAAAATGTAAGAAATGTAAGATATTTGTTGTAGTGTGACGTCGTAATGTGGAGATTTATAGTCACAGTAACTGCGAGAGACAAAAGATGTCAGGATCGCTGTGGACACGAGGCTGTTTGCTTTTGATGGTGGCTAGTTTACTGGCTCAGGTGTTGCATCTGCAAAACAAACAGGTCATTGTGGTCTCAACAACTGTTGTCTCACTGCCACCATCTGCTCTGCTGTGTCTCTCCATTTATTCATGCCTGTTTGGTTGGAGGTGCAGGGTTGTTTTTTTTTATCCAGACCAACCTGCTGTGTTTGTCCAAGGACACTTCAGTAGGGTATTTTGTCTCCTACTGCATATACCTAAGCTTTGATATGGCTCGAATGTGTTAGTTTCTAGCTATAGTTTCTCATCTTCATCACTGTGCTGCCGGCCGCTTTTCACTGTTGAATTTTATTCTGTTTTTTTGTTTATTGTTGAGTTATATTAACTGTGACTTTCTGTCTGTCAGGTCAGTGATGGTCAGTGCTAGTTAGAGCCTGCAGCCGAGGATGTCTGCTACAGATTCGGACAACTCCATTGACTGGCTGGCTAGTGACTATGAGGACAATGAGAGCGAACAGGAGTTTGACTGTACCAGAAAGCACAGCCAGACAGAGGCTCCTCCATCCCCCAGCACCCCGCCACACCTGAGTCCGTCTGACAGCAGCTGCTGCCGGAGCGGCGAGGTGAAGGAGGGCGTCAGTAACTGGAGCGAGGTCAGGGAGGCCTCCAGTCGGGGATCTCCCCCTGGCTGCACGGAGACATGGGACAGCACCATTGGACTGTGTAAAACACAACAAGGAGAAAAAGCGAATGGCAAAAACACTCAGCAAGCACTGAAGAGACCTCGCGGCTCCATGGAGGAGGAGTGCAGGGAACGGCAGCTCATTTCCAACGTGTCAGAGAAAAGCCGAATTTTCAGCCGTAAGGTGAGCACCTCTGAGATTTGATGTCTGTTACCCACAGGAGGTGGTTGACAGTGTCAGCAAAACTAGAGCGTGCCCTATCACCTATATTGACTCGCTGCTGGTTTTACAGTGTCTCACGCATGACTGTTCCAGTAAAGATGATCTTCCTCTTAAACTGTACACGCAGAATTAGTCATGCTTTTCTGAAGAACTGGAGTCAGTCTATCATAGGTCAAACTCAGTGAATCAACAGGACAGTTTAGGTGTTATCTAAATAATGTTGAGCAACTATATATTCAAATAAAATAAGTTTGTGGAAGCCAGTTTGATGTCAGCTGTTCACAAGGTTTTTTAAGCATGTTTTGCAGAAATATATCACCTATAATCTATTCTAATTTATTTTCAGTGCATGGAGCTACGGTGCTATATTCATCCACTGTCATCTATCTTGAATGGCCTTCGTTCAGGGAGATACAGAGAACGTAAGTTGGCCATTTAATATCTTTCCTATTTTTTGTCTTTAGAAAAACATGACTAGATTCATACTGTTTAACACAACTATTTGTTAGTTAAGTCTACACCTCTGTCTATATGTTTGTCTCTCCGCGTTCCTGTCTTTCGTCTGCTTAAAGAAAAACAATAGACTGGAAAGACAGCGTGTCACTCTTTATGGAATATGTGTCCCTGAGATTTGAGAAAGAGATGTCTGAAACATGTATTGTTGTAGGACTATCAAGCAACCACAAGTATTTCCTGTGTGTGTGTGTGTGTGTGTGTGTGTGTGTGTGTGTGTGTGTGTGTCTTTTTATAATGGAGCAAATTTGGGGTAAAGGTTCACTTAGCAACGGCGCTGTTTTGAAATGACCCTTTTTAAGAGTTAAAAAACACATATGTTGGTTTTTTACCAGTTGAGAACAAAGTGTCACACTTCAGACTTCCTTGTAAATTAGCTGCTTGGCAGAGGTGAGTGAGAACATACTGTATCACAGTCTCCAGTAAAGCAGCTGCTGTTTGTGAGTTGTCTGATAGGCATTATACGGGTCTCTGGCAGATAACACCATGTTCAGACAGGCTCTGAGAACTACTTAATTTGGGATCTTTGTCAAGCACAGACCTTGTGTGACCCAACACTTCCTGGCCACAGAGGCAGGGAGCCTGTTCACATTTCACACAGCCCATATGCTCCACAGACTCAGCCCTACAGTCAACACAGTTCACGTGGCTCATGGTACAACTTTCTTCTTTTCCAGGACTCAGCAGTTTCCAGGAGAGCGTGGCCATGGACAGGATCCAGAGGATCATGGGTGTTCTGCAGAACCCCTGCATGGGGTAAGTGTCCTCAGCGTGACTCACATACTGTTATACATGGAACAATGACACAGACGCAGGAGATATGATATTCAGTATATCTTTATAGATATATATAATATTTTACTTTTGCTAAAATAGGTAATCCCTGTTGCTTCAGAGCTTTCTCTAACATGATGAGAACCACACCTACAATATATTGAACCCCAGCATACAATCACAATGGCTAGAAATGGCGTTTTCAGTCTGTGGGTCAAAGTGGTCTCTAACGTGTCTGTGACACATGGCTCACAGCAGGTTGCCCCGCGAGGAGCTGCTACCCCCACACATTCAGGATAAATTTACTGCAGAGATGGCTGGCTCTCACTATAGCTGGGCATCTTGTTAAAAATGTATCAGGCTCCACTGTGGAAGCAGCACACTTGTGTCTGCTTGATTAGCTCTCCATTGGCCAGACAGTATAATGGATATCACCCTTTAAAAGGAGAAAGTCCTACTCCTTCTAACAAAACAATAAATCTCAATTTAAATCATTGGAAAGCAACATTTTATAGAATCAGAGCACATTATGATCATATCAGCATGATATAATTACACTGTAAGTCTACAAATGAAATTGCAGCTTCATGTGCCATTATCTTCAGAATTTAAAGCAGCACTACTGGTACCTTAAGCCTGTCTTCCTGGGCAGC